TATATGGTCTGGAGCCCCCGCTGTTCGTCTTAAGAGGCTCGACAAAATCCTGAGAGAGATATGCAATGCGATTAGCCCTGATCAGTCATCTATTTTACAGACGTTCACTCACATACGTTCTCTCTCTTCCCCTTGTATTTTTTACAAATACTATATATATATATATATATATATATATATATATACACTGCGTGCCAAATTATTATCGAGATAACTTTTTTTCTAATATTTCAAAAACCGTCCAATGTAAACAAACTGGCGCCATATTTGCTATCAGCACGGTGATTTGAGCGTGCCAAATTATTAGAAAGGTTTAGTAAAATTCCCAGAATTGAGCAAACAAAACGTTTATTAATGTTGCACGTGAATGTTTATGATCAAAAGAAGCTAATAAATAAGATAATCAAACAATCAGTACGATGATCAGTACGAAAATTCAGTGATTGCGAAAATTTTGTGTGAATTGATTGGATGGTTTTTGAAAAATTAGAAAAAGTTATCTCGATAATAATTTGACACGCTGTGTATATATATATATATATATATATATATATATATATAATATGTGTGTGTGTGTGTGTGTGTGTGTGTGTGTGTGTGCGCGTGTGTAGGCTGACCCCAAAAAACGGGAACTTTGTAACAATCCAATAAAACCAAAAGTGATGGAAGAAAAATATTTTATTCATAGTAATTGAAACCTTAAAACATGCCATTTAAGAAACAATGATGGAATTTTCATTTTTTTTTTCTACGTCCTGTAGATGGCGTCCTTCTGTACGAATGCATTCTTGAAATCTGCTGTTGAGATTCCTCATTGACTGCTGCAACATCTCAGCTGGGATACTGGGAATTTCATCTTGAATTCTAAATGGCGAAACGTTTACTTGCTCAAGGTGACGGTCTCTCAGTGTTGCCATTTGCTCAAGTCTGGCAATATGCACTTAAAAAATTAACATTTTTTGTCACTATATATATATATATATATATGTGTGTGTGTGTGTGTGTGTGTGTGTGTGTGTGTGTGTGTGTGTAATAATAATAATGGACTCTTCCGTCGTCGGTTTCGTCGTATGAGGATCTGCCAGCTTATTGATTCAGTTATGAATGTATGTATATATATATATATATATATATATATATATATATATATATATATATATTCATATTCGAAGATGCTCGTCAGCTAGGGCGGCTAGCCAATCCCTGTTACAGACGGTTGCTCAGGCGCATTTGTGTTTGCACAACACCCATAGAGCCTTCCTGTGGTTTATACTGCAACTATGCTGAGCTGACCATTGTTACAGTTTCTAGGAGACAACGTGTTATCTAGCGTGATAAACAATTTGAACAAGTCCTCGGCCACGATGACTTGAGGCTTTGTTCCGATAACATCAGGAAGTCTCTTTTCTGACATCGACTATAGTGAAATTCGAACCCGGGTCTCTTGATCAAAAAGCGAACATTCTAATTATTCCGACACGTGTCCATATATATATATATATATATATATATATATATATATATATATATATATATACGCTACACAAATCATACTCACTCACTCCCCAAGAACCAAATAACACACACACAAACACTAAACAGAGACACATCCCTCTCCAGGACCAATAAAACTGTCAAACTGACCAGGGGAATTCAGAGAAGCATAGATCCATCCAGCTCTTATCTCAAATAACAACTTAAAAGTGACTGTTTGACCAACACAAAGAATGTTAAAAGATTCATGTTAAAAAGATAACAAAATAAAAAAAAACAAATGAAAACTACAGACAAAAGTTCATTTTCTCCAGCAAGACATTCATTTCTGTAGTTTACTGCTACCAGTGAGCAGAAATATTTCTCCTCCCGATGATGGCCATTTTGGACGAAACTAGTCGAGGAATCTAAATAAAATAATATAAAAACAACGAAAGAATATTAATCTACAAACCAGTGTGTTTGAAGGCTTTAATTTTTTAATATTTTTTTATTGTTCAATATATATATATATATATATATATATATATATATATATATATATATGCGTGTGTTTTTGTAACTGAAATTCACAAGTAATAAACATTGTGTACAATGAGTACATCGTGGTTTTTTTTTAACTAACATCGATTTATTTATACGTATTTTATTGGCTTCATAAAACCTTAGATATCTCTATGAGTTCAGTAAATTAGCAAACGAAAATAAACGTGATGCCATCGATTATAATGAGCAACATTTTGGAACATGTGATGTTTATATCTTGTGTATATATATCAGAGGTGTCATTAAGAGATGGCCTCAAGGAGGAGGTCAAACTTTATTACTCGCCACAGACCAGACATTGGAAGTAAAACTAGATTAACGATTCACAATTCAGCTAAAGTAAACTTTATCCTGTAAATAGCTCGAAGTCATTTTCCCCTGCGCATTTACAAATACAGATGTGAATTGACGGCCACTGATGATTTTAAACATTCTATATTACATACCAAACTAATCTAACAAGACAACGATTCTCCCGAAGCCAATATACGGATTATGAGGTAGGTGATGCTGATGACATAGATATTTATAGTTGGGATAAGAATAATCTTTACGCTTTGAGACCTGACCTCTGCTTTACCGGTGTTAAAGAAAAATGACTTAATACCCAGCCACAAGTTGAACAGTGGTAGAGAAAAATGACTTAATGTCCATCCACCGGTTGAACGGTGGTAGAGAAAAATGACTTAATGTCCATCTACCGGTTGAACGGTGGTAGAGAAAAATGACTTAATGTCCATCCACCGGTTGAACGGTGGTAGAGAAAAATGACTTAATGCCCAGCCACCGGTTGAACGGTGGTAGAGAAAAATGACGTAATGCCCAGCCACCGGTTGGCTGGTCATTAAATGATTTTTCTCTACCACTCTTCATATTTCTTGGAAGACCTGGATGAGGATGTTGGTTTTCTCTTTAAACCTTTGAGCCCAGCGTTCCTGAACAATGTTAAACCTTCTGCCTGAGCTCCTGAGTCAAAATTCTCAAATAGTTGGGATGTAATGTTTCGCGGTAGATATAAAAATAGTTACAAGTATTTAACCACCGTTCAACCGGTGGCTGGGCATTAAGACAGTTTTCCCTACCACTCTTCATATCTATCTTATTTCTGAGAAGAGCTGGATGAGGACGTTGATTTTCTCTTTAAACGTTTGAGCCCAGCGTTCCTGAACAATTCTAACACTTCTGCCTGAGATCTCGAGTCAAAATTCGCCAATAATTGGTTTGTAATGTTTCACTGTAGATATAAAAAAATAATTGCACGCGTTTTCCTACCATTCATGACGGAGTAGTCCATTATTTATGCGGTATGGCCGGACTTAACGGTCGTTCAAACTAAAGAACTGATGAAAGTAGGGGTATGCGCAATTATTATTAGTAAATTTAAGTGCCTGATTTCATTCATTCATTTTGACAGTTCATAATCAGTACAACCACTTTTTCATTACAAAACAAGCAACAAAGACTTTTTTTTTAGATTTATATATTTTTATACCTGAAAAAATTGTTTAACCCTTATGTTAGAGAAAAAATGACAGATTTCGCAGCCACCGGCGAAAACTTTTAACTATTTTTATATCTACCGTGAAACTTGACATATCAATTGTTTGCGAATTTTGACATCTTAGTGGTATTGTCTCCTTGCTTCGGGTGAATTGATTAGAAGAATTCACATGTATATGGTAAATGCAAATTTCAGTGTGTTACTGTGTCACACATTTTAATTAAAGGGACGCAACTCTTTAACTTTCAATTGCTCATCTTTTTCTATGTAATAAATGCGAATGTCAGTGTGTCACACGTTTTCAACTTTACACCTAAAGGAGTGGTCCAACATATTATACCATTTTGGAATCAGGCCGACTCCGTGAGAAACATTTCGGGCCTGAAATTTTTGATATCCAAGTTTTCATTGCAACGATTGATTTTCCGCTATTTTTTACGTGATTTTTTGCCACGAATTTTTTTTATACGATAACAATTTTTATAACTTGGAAATAAATTTGGGAATAATCAAAAATTAATTGCGAAATCCAGCGAAAAATCACCCATGAATTAAAAATGATTGTTAATAAGGGTAGTAAGGACCTACGTACATCAAACAGCCTTTAAATTAAGTGGCGGCAGAAGAATTGTTGAACTTTTAAAAGATAACCTTAAATATTAATGCAATATTTAAATGCAGTGATCACTTTTGAGTTCTGTAGTTTATTGTTGCCTATCGAATAAGGCAGCAGTATGCCTCTCAAAATCTCCAACAACAGAGGACCAAATTGCAATCAAAAGAGCCAGGAATGGAGCGAGGAAAAGAAAGACCAGTACAAATGAAAATCTATATAAATCAATAGCCAGATCTTCCAATGCTGAGACTATGCAAAGACTTAGGGACTCTCAAACTCCTGAAAAAGTCGAAGGACCAATCAAGAGCTCTTTGCGGGAGTTAGGTTAA